CTTTTATCCTTGCAAAGAAGAAATGCAAGCACCGTTCTGTAGACAGTGTCTGACATGTCCCTGAGCTTCCTCTTAGGACTGTTTATAAAAACAAAAAGACAGTCCCCAAATAAAAGCAAATGGTAGGTATTTGGTTTAAATGTAGGAAGGTTTGTGCAAATGTCTCCAGTTTTAACCAAAATAAAATAATATAAATAACAAATTAACAAAACCCAAAACATCTTTTCCTTTTTCTTTGGAATGGCCTCAGGTGGGCTTAGCAGGTTTTGGGGTTTATAAATTTAGTAGCCTTAGGCCTTTTTTTTTTTTTTTTTTTTTTTTTTCAGAAACATAGAGACCCATCGGATTCTTCCTATAATCATCCCCGCAGTTTGTAAACCAAGACAAATAAATAAAACCTGATAGGACAAGTTAAATGGATCAAAGGAAGAAAAGCAAAGATTGTTGTTTATTTTTTTTCTGGGGGTAAAGGAGATCAAAGGATTACAAGGCAGTGAAAATGAGGCAGGAAAAAAAAAAGGAAAGATAAAATATGTATGAAAAGGAAAGAGAAATGGGTTTCTGCTGGAGCCCGACTGTGTGAGGCCTCAGTGTGAGGCCTCGTAGCAAATTTCCTTGGGTACTTTGGGCCACCAGGGAAGGAAGGAGCCAGATAGCACAGGGACTCCTGGAGAAGGGACAGTCCTTTCGTGGGGTGCTCAGGGGAGGGCTGGCCTTCGTGAATGAGAGCAAGTAGTGTTATCTTTTCTTGCCCTTCCAGTTTCCCTCTAGTCCTTCCTTCGTGGGACTCACATTTCAAAAATTTAGGACTGGCTATAAGCTGAAAGAAAATAAAAGGTGAATGACAAATATCTGAGGTAAATTGCTTTTTCTACCCTGACCAAAAAATTTTTTAAAATGTAAAAAGAAAGAGACTTGCTAAAACAATTGTGATTAAATTCAATAGATTTTAAAAAGAACTTGAAAGCAAGGAATTAAAGAGGAAAGAAACTACAAAGAGATAATATTTGTGAAGGGATGCATCAAGTAGAGAAAAAGATTTTCCTCTCAGACTTTCTGATTTGCTCCCAGTGGGGTAACCCTGGGCACTGGCCGGCTATGGAGCAAATGGACAGATGCTTCCAGAAAAGATTATCTTTTACCTGCCCCTCAGAGAATATCTCAGGTCCTGTGACTGCTGACTCTATGATCTAAGTTTTATATGTCACTACTACATATGTCAGACAGGAAAATCTATCTGTAACAACAAAACAGCTAACCCTCTAGATGCATAATCTCATTTAACCCTCGCCAAAACCTCACCATGGCTATCTTGCTATCATACCCCCATTTCACAGCTGAGGAAATTGAAAAAGTGTGTTTGTATCTCAATGAAATTTTCTAGACCTTAGTCTCTACAGCAGCTATCTGCTGCCTTCTCACTTAAGTAGATATTTGCAGAGTTCCTCCTATCCTCAAAATTACAACAAAGTCTTTACAGGTTCAGATCCTAACCTGGGCCCTTCACAGTCAGAATCATCAGCCAGCAGTGTCTTCCACTGACTTCTGACCACAGACGTGTTGAAAAATAGCATCTGTTTCTCCCATTCAGTAAAGTTTGCATCAAGATCTAATTGGGACTGAAGTCAGCAAATACCCCTGGGTCCTAAATGAAAAAGCCCAGGCCTTCCTTATTGCAAGGAGGAATGTTGAGGGTAGGAAGAAAGGGGCCCTGGAAGGCTCATAACTAGCGCGAAACCTTTGCTCACAGACCTGTTCATGTCCTTGCTGAGCCTCAAAGATTTCCAGTGTCTTCTTCACACATGTCCTCAGCAGAGCCCCCTGCCAGTGGGGAGGAGGCGTGACCAACGTGGCAGAGCCAGCCGGCCCTGAGCAGCCCACAAAAGGACATTTCCTTTTCTTCTCCAGCCTCCCTGTGCTCTCTGGCTTTAACCTTTCCTGGTGGTCCAAAGCACCCAAGGAAATTTGCTACAAGGCCTGACACTGAGGCCTCACACAGTCAGGCTCCTGTAGGAGTCTCTCTTCCCTCTGCTGAATCACCAGACTTTGCCAAGAGCCCTTTGCTTAAAAGATGGTTTGTCTCTTTGAAATTCTGCAGGCTACATTTGGTCACGAAACTTCTCATCTGCTTCTGTCCCTCAGACTGCTTTGCTTCTCAGTAACAGATACTCTGTTCAGCATTTCTTCTGATCATTGACAGCATTCATTGAGTTCCAACTATTTGTTCTCCAAAAAAGAGGGACCAAAAGTAGGATAAAAATGCAACAGTGTGTTATTAGGACAGAGAAAAAAAAAAGATTAAAAATCAAGATTGTATGATACAATCTAACTATAAACCTAAATGTTGTAGAAGAAAAAAATGTAAATTTAGGGCTTATGGACTCTAGGGAGACTGTAGCCCTTCTGAAATTGTATGTAAATAGGTTTTTCTTTTTCTTCCTTATTGTTTTTTGTTTTTCTGGGAAGTCCGTAGTTTCATTAGGTAATCAAAGAGAAGCCCAAGCATTTATTTCTATTTCTAATGCCCAGAATAGGGCTCGGGACATAACAGGGACTCAATAAACAAGTGTCGGTTAAACATTCAGCATTTGTTGAATAAATGAACGTATGAAAGGAATCTGAGCTCTAAAGTACCTATTTTTATAAATGGAGAAATTGAGGCCTAGAAAGGCAAACACAGCTTCTTCAAGGGCATGAAACTAAATCATCAGGACCAAATAGTTATAGCTCTCTTAACATTTTCTGCTGCTTGTCAGTCTTCTTGGTTTGCTTTTTAAGCTAATTACATCTTTTTTTCCGCCATTTTACGTGTTGTCCTCCAAACCCTTTTCTTTTAAGCAGAGAAATGTACCTTTTTTTTCTAGTTAGAAGTGACTTCTGCATGCACGACCCCAGGGGAGATGGGAGCAGAAACTGGGGAGTTTTCATAGTGATCTATGAAAAGGACCACTAGTACGGTCTCCTTGTGAGACACGCCACAGCCCTACTCTTTCTAGGTGCCCAGGACAGGATTGCCGGGCCACTGAAATGGCCGACATGGATGGAAATAGGTGAAACTGAAGTAGCGGAGTTAGAGGGAGAGGTCGACAGTAAATCTTAAGCTTAACAACTGACCAGCCCCACAGCTGTCCTACAAGTAGGTGATCTACAACATTTTAAAAGAGATCTGAGAGACAAGAATCAAATGAAATCCCGCTTGATTTGAAATCTCCTTTTGAGGGTCTTCCTTGCTTGGAAAGTTGACTAGGAGAAGCTGGGAAAACTCCAGCTGGGTCTTTTTACCCTCCTATCAGCTCAAAATCAAGCCCAGCAGGCTAGAAGGATGACACTTAGCTATAACCCTGAGAAGAGAAGGGAGAGGGTTCCAGAGCTCATGAAACTGCTGCCAGCTACGAGAGATTCAGAAAGGGACCAAGACTCAGATTCTGTGACACAGCAAATTTCTTGTGCTCGTGACTTGCTCAGCAGATCAGGGCCAATATGGAGGCTCTGAGGTGAAGGCACATCAGAGGTGAGAGGAGAGGCCTGGGGATACCCCCAGAATGCTGATTACTAGCAGAAGAAACTTGCTGTAAAGTCTTTGCATTTGAACCTGGATATCCTAAATACAAGTCATTTTAGAAAGGTATTTGTTCCAATGTCCTGGATTTTGTTCATGGATTATCTGTAGTTTTTGATAAAGGTAGGAAATACTTAGTGAAAAAGAAAGATTTGTAACCCCCAATGGTGTGACTCTGGTAAAATCACTTAACTTCTCTGAACTTCTATTTCTTGATTTGCAAAATGAAAGTACCGATCTTTGTATCCTCCATAGCTCTTTCCAGCTCTGGTATGCTACATGCTACACCGAAGTTCAATATTGAACCCATGGACAGCTTTTTAAAATATGATTAAAGGAGTTTACCCCTTTCGGTGAGGCTCTACCCCAAATTGTTTTCTTAAATGACTCTGAATCTTAACTTTCTTCGATTGGCAAATGTCAAAGAAGGGGGTGCAGGAAATGTTAATGTCATAGAATGAACACAACCCCCCTTCTTCTGAGACAAATGTTGCAAACATCAGATGCTTAGATTCAAATGGAGATTTTAAAAGAAATGAGGTTCAGTCAGTGATCTGAAGACTTGGCTTTCACTTTTCACGGTGGGAATTATGGGAGAGTTCAATCCAGTTATTTGTTTTCTGAGTTCCACTGTCAACATGTAAACATTTCACAGAATCCACGTAGCATTTAATTAAGAGAGGAGATAATTCTTTTGTACAATGACCCAAAGTTATTCCAGGTGCCTCTCTCCTGACATGAACCTAGTTTCCCTCTAGTTTTCTGGAAGCTTCCTACATTTGCTCATATAATATCCAAAGAATGGCTGGGGATCTGTTTCTCCCTTCCTCACAAATCTACCAGCCCTAGGGTTTCAAAATTCTGTCAAGCTCTGAACTGAATTCTACCAATAAAAATCACAGTAAGACACTGAAGCTCCAAAAGGTGGCCAAACAAAACCTCTATGCCAAAGGATCTTTCTGGTTAATAGGAAAAGGAAATGTATTTAGAGTGTGTCTGACTCTTCGAAAAACAGTCAATGACCAAAAACTCTTCCTACATGTCCTATGCTGAGTTCTAGTTGAGGAGAACACATAACTCAGAGAACTGAGCTCAGCAAATGAACGCTACACATTCCCTAGGCCCCAGAGGGGCCTAAAGTACCCCCCTGGAATTGGGGGTAGAGAAGAAACAATGCATAAGGCCTGTGCCCCTCAGTAGTGGGGGTTTAGAAGTCTCCTAAGCCCCAGGTTCATGTCTTGCTAGAGGAAATGCCAGGAAAGAAGATACCGTGTTTTCCCTTGCAACCTCTTTTTTGCCAAAAATAAGCCTTTCTATGCTGAAAGCTGAGCCACTGAGGACAGTCCCCAACCACTGGGTCCTGGCTTCCCCATTTACATCACCAGGTAGAAAATGCGTGTGGAGGCCCATGGGCCTTGGGCACAGGTATTGTTGCACTTACCTCGGACTCTGGAGCTCATTTTCCAGACTCTTCAACTTCTGGGGTCTCTTCAGTGACAATTCCTCATGAGACTTCCACATATCAGGACAAGTTTAACCAACTGAAAGGGCAAAAAATTGAGCAAGGTTACTCTGCTGAATGGAAAAAAGAATAGGAGACTCAGGGGGGCTGGGACAGGAAATCACAGATGAGGAGACTGAAGGGAAGGGAAAGGACAGAAGGATACATTTTAGCCAAGAGCTACAAGGAGGGGTGCTGGCTCAGGAGAACATTCCAGACCTGCCCAGTCTGAAACACCTCTGGGACAGAGAAAAAGGGTCCTGGCCTGAGATTGCAGCCGGTGGCCCAAGCCTTTGACGCTATGCCTTTCTTTGCCCCAACCTCAAGTAGCGAAGGCAAGAAGACTCAAAGCAAACACAGACCTCGGGAAAATAGGAGGGGTCAAAGGCCAGAGGGAGGGACCCTTACTCTAGACTGGAAGGTAGGGGAGGTGTGAGACAGGGTGCAGTGCAGATACCAAGCAGCTAGAAATCAGCCTGCCTGCCGCCAGATTAGCCAGCAGACCCCCTTAGCCTGCTCAGACACAGGGGTGAAGAGGGGTCAAGTGGCAGGAGGGGACCCTGTGCTGCCTTCGTGAGACAACCCTCAATCTTGACTTCTCAACACAGGCAGGAGCTAAACTAGTTGACTGAGCTCGGAGACCAAGTTTTCCCAGTGGCTCCGGACGTTTCTCATTTCCCAGGGAGAAGCAGGCTGGGGGTGGGGGTAGGGGTGGGGGAGAGACTGGAGCTATACTCTCTTCCCCAAACAGGTTGGCATCAGATGCAAGTGCTAGGAACTTTCCATCAGGCCCCTGGTTTACTAGGAGACATGGTGTTGTTGTTTTCTCTTTCTTTCTAAAGGGGTGTGCATTAGCAGTTTGGGGTTCAAAGGAATTACAACCCCCCCTTTACCCTCCTTCCTCAGCAAAGACAAAGTTAAGACAAAGGGGGAGATCAGCTGGCACTGGCCTCAGCTGAAAGCAACTGCGAGGAGGGGATACCAGCAGCACCCAAAGCCACAGATTCTCTCTTCTGTAAAGGGAGAAGGGGGTGGGGGTCCTTTCCTGAGCTACCACCCGCAAAGAGAGACTTCTCCAGCTAGTCCCCTGCCGGGATCTGAAGTGAGCAGTCCCAGCCCAGGCGAGCAGCCGCCTCAGCAGCTGTGTGCAGTAAGCAGCAGCAGCTCCTTCAAGGCAGCAACAGTTGTCTGGCTGAGGCGAGGGGAGGATTCGCTTTGGTGCGCACGACGCCGGCTTCGCACGCGGTGCTCCTGCCCCAGAGTCCCAGCCCCAAACCCAGCTTGGAGGGGAATAGTGAAGGCACTAGGGAGGCAGTACCCCGCGGACGTCTGCGCTGCGGGGGCTCAGCCCCTTCTGTGCAAGTTCACTTTTCTTAGGTCACCTGTCTTCCCATGCTGGTGGAGGTTCAGGCTTCTGGAGAGAGGGGGGCTTTCAAGCTGGGGAGAGCAGGGGGATGTAAGAAGCAAAAGACAACAGAGGAGCTGAAGGGACAAGGGGTGACGCTAATTTTTAGTCTACCGTAGCTCGGATACTTCTCGCTCCTTCAAGCTCTCGCTCCACAGACGGCCCCAGGTGAGAGGCAGGGAGGAATTTCCTCCAGACCTTTTGCTTTTGCCTCAAGTCCTTGGCAGATCTTAGAGACCCTTTTACTCTTTCAGAAAATGTAATCAGGGAGGGAAAATCTCCTTTATCTGGGGAGAAGAGCGCTGATTTAGCCCTGGAGCCTGGAGTCCTTGCTTTCTGTGCCTTCTCGCAGACTGAGCCGTGAAAGACTGACTCTGTCCAGCACTGTCAGACACTGTAGTCCTTCTTTATTCCGGAGAGGGTAGAGTCTGGGTGCTCAGCTAATGGAGGGGGGAACATGTGGGCCTTTAATGTGCTGGAAGAAGGAGATTGGGGTGTGCGGGGATATCAGGCCCTCCCTCCTCAATGGAGAGCTTTGCAGCCCTCTGTCATGACTCGTCCATCTCTAGACACATCCCTCATTCCTGTCCACTTCAGTGGGAGCCAGTGTGTGTATGTGTGCCCTTCTGTCCCAGTCCCTAAGGGCGTCTAGCTGTGTTCCTACTGGCGAAGGGCACGGGGCGCAAAGCATGGTGAAGGCCTGATTTGTGCTACTTGTAACCGAAATGGTCACGACTGCCAGGAGTGGAGAGGGAGGAGGGGAACCCACTGGCGATCCCCAATCCTGCAGTTTTGCCTGCCTCCCCAGGATGGGGCGCCTTGAGAGGGCAGGACGGGGCTGCTGCTGCTGTTGCTGCTGCTGCTGCTGCTGCTGCTACTGGTTAGCTCTGAGTCTGTGCAACCTCATTTCTCAAAAGCTCTTTCTCTGCGGGGCTTCCCCCAGTTTTCTCCTATTTTATCCCCCTCCATCTTATTTAGTTTTGAAGAAGAGAAGGGGATGAGGCTGTAAAAAGCCCCAGATGAGGTTGGAAGCAGGGGTTGGAGAGAGAAGTGACTCCAGGGAGCGGGCGGTGCCTGGTGTTTTCCCCCTTTTTCGGAGCTGCCCAATTCATCCCGCTTGTCTCACCTCCGCCTTCCCCACGCTAGGGCAGAGGATGCAGGGGGTGGGGGCTCCCGCCCCTCCCTCACGGGTTTCCCCATCCCCATATTGCAGATTTGGATCATTAGGGTGAAAAATGACCATAACATGTCCTAAACTGATACATATTTCAGGTACTGACTGGGGGGCTTTGACCAGATCCTTCTTTCGCAGAGGGTGAATGGGGTTATTCCGGGTGTGGACGGGGGTGGGGGGGGAGACACAACTTCTGTAAACTTTTATTGTATTTTAGCCTCTTCCCACTTCTCCGAAAACACACGCCACTGCCTGCTCCAATTCCCCTTGTTATACAAAGTCGATTTAAAAGTTGGGGGTGGGGGACCCGCGCGGAAGGCAGGCGGGTGACCGAAACCTCGGGGAGCGCGGGAAGGACCGGAGGGAATGGATTGATTCTTCCGTGGAAGACGGGGAACGGGCTGAGAACGGCTCGGATCGAGCCGCTTCGGGAAGGTGCGGGCTTCGGCGATCGCTGGTAGCTGTGGTCTTCTCGATGAGTGCGCCCTCCGCAAATGCTTTTTGGGGTAAGGGCTTCCGGCTATTGAGTTATGTACAGCAAGCCCAGACCGCAAAAAGATTCGCGAAGGGCAGAGTCTGCCGGCTTCTTCAGTCCGCCGCCGCCACCGCCGCCGCCGCCTTCAATCTAGGATGTCTCCGAACCCCCGAGCCGAGCAGGCTGGGTCTCCCTAGCGCGCTCCAACGCGGCGCAGCTTTCCACCCCGCGCGCCGCTCGCCCCTCTCCCGCCGCTTCCTTGCGCCCCCCGACCCATCTCTCCACACAGTCCGCGATCCTCAACTCAGCCCGCACAGCCGCGAGAAAGGTGTGTGGAAGGCGAGAAGAGGACCGCGGAAAGGGACCAGAGATCCCGACGCCCAGCCTCCACCCCTCTCCGGTAGCCCCAGCACCCAAGCCTCCCCGCCTATCTATCCTATCGCCCCTTTCTCTCATTAGGGTTCCGCCAGCCCCGGCTGCAAAGTCGCGTATCTCTGAACAGGTACAGTTCGGGTTCCCCTTGAACCCCCTCTTGTCCCTTCTAGTCCCCCAGCCGAGGTTCCAGCCGTGACTACAGGCGCTGCGTAAAGAGAAAAACTCCCCCAGAGCACTAAATAAATACAGACGAGGCGGCCAGCTCATTGGTGCGGACTAAAATCGTCACCCACCAATCAGAAAAGAGCTCACATATCCTTTTTTTTTTTTTTGAAGGGGGAGGGAGGAAAAAATATTTCCATTTCTAATTATCCAACAAAACCCAGAGTGGAACAAGTTAAAATATTGTTGTTGCAAAATAGCTGGCCACGACCCCTACCCTCATTGCTGCCCAGATGAGGGGAGGAGCGCGACGACAGAAGGAGCAAGGGGGATTCAAGAAAGCGACCTCTCCTGAAGACACACCAGCCGGAAAATTCAGACAGAAAAATGACAGGCAAAGATGAACCTAAATCCAAACTCCACCTAGTCAGCCTATTGCTAGAAAAATGAGAAGTTCTCAATTCCTGAATCCCCCCCCCATAAAGTTCTGAATGATAATTAGGAAGGGTGAAGCTTCTCCCTCCACACCCTCCCCCAAAGAAAGGCGGTCTAACGGCCCCATCGCCTCAGGTGCCCTTTCAGAATTGCACCTCCCCAGCCCCCACCGCAAACCCATTCTGCAGAAGGTCGAGGGGAACGACAAGGGAGGAGACTCTTGCTGGCCTGGGATCCCAGGGTGGGGGATTCCAGCATCTGCTGGAGGAAGGAAGAGGAGGAGAAAGCCCAGGATGGGAGGAGCAGGGAGAGAGCTCTCTTCCCTTCGTTCTCCTTCCTTACAGTTCCCCTTTCGGCCCCCTCGGCCATCCCATCCATCCAAACTTTGAGGGACTGATCGTCCCAGTGCTGTGCCACCCTGTCCAAATCCTCTTTTGTCTTCCCACGCAGCCCCCTCCCCATCAACGTCCAATACAAGTGGGGGCAAAAGAGCATTCTGACCACCTCCCCCCCTCGCCCCCCATAAAATGGTAGCCCCCAGTGGACAAATACTTAGCAAAAGCGGGATGCTGCAAACATAGCAAGAACTTGGGGGAAAGTTGCCACATTTGTTCTTTGCCCCCTTGGATCGACGTGCGAGCGGGTGCGGTGCGCACACTCACTCTCGCCGTGCATGCCTTAGAAAACGTATGCAGACGAAGTAGTCACTGTCTCTGAAACCCTGTCGACCCACCCCCTCCGCCCATCCATCACCCTACTGCAGCTCGGTGACCCACCCACCCTCCAACGCAGCCCCTCCGCGCCGCCACCGACAGACGCACGCACACACCCTCTGAGCGTCGGCGCGCCAGTAGCGCCAGAGGGGGCTCCAAAGTCCGCGCCTACCGCTGCTGCAGCGCCGGGCAACTGCGGGGTGGGGGGCGGTGGGAAAGTTCTGTTTAGTGGACCATAGAGTCTGCCAACCTCTGGCCGACTAGTGCACCGACCCCATTCTCCTTACCTGGGTTCCAAGGCCCCAGGAGAGCGCTGGTCCCGTCCGCACTGCAGCCAGCTTGAAGGAGCCCCTCTCCAACTGGCCCGTTCCCCTCACACCCCCCTCCCCCCACGATGTTTGCCCAGCGGCAAAGCAGGCTCTTCCAGGTAAGTATATAAGTTAATGTACTGTGTGGGAGGGTCACGATCTTGGTAATTGCGGCTTTCCGATCTTAACCCCTGCGTTCCTGCCTTCTTCCAACTTGTTGAGGACTCGTCGGGTAGCCGGAGAGGGAGCGAAAGCGCCAGAGAACGCTCCCGCCGGGAGGGGGGAGAGAGGTGCACCGGGCAGAGAGGGAAGAGCGAGACAGCGAGCGGCGGAGTTCAAATGCACCCCCCCACCCCGGCAGCGGTTTTCATTGGATAGGTCTTTCCCCCCACCCCCACTCCGGTCCCCCCTGGCTTGATCCCCCCCCACCCCAAGTCTCCCATGTAGGGGACGTCTCCAGGCGAAGTCACGATTCCTTCTCAGTTCGGAATGAACTGTGACTAGAGCCATGACGCAGCCAGCGCGCATTACTCACTTTTTGCAGTCACGACTTGGGAATCCGTGCTGGTTCCAACCAAAATTACACCGCTACCATTGAATTATTTAATAGGATTCAATTCGGGGGTAAACTTGTGCATTGTGCCAAGCGATGAGGGAGGGCAGATGGGGGAAATAAGGACATGGGGTGTCCTCCTCTTCCCCCCTCATGACTCTTGGATCCCCCCACACCCCCATCCACTCCACGTGTTGCCAGTGTTTTATTGCGCTACCTCCCCTCCCAGCCCGGCCGCTCCCCCTTCTTCCAGAGATTTCCTTTGCAAATGTGGCAGAATTTGTAAACACAACCACGCAACTTGAGGGGCTGAGAGGGGCGAGGCTTGGGAAAGGCAACCAGTAAGTCCGGGTGAATGACGAGGAGGCCGAGGGTGGGCAGAGAGGCGTAATTGTCAAGACTAAGTGTAGGTTGCAGTTATTTGTGTCATTCTCCACAACATCAGTAACAGCCCTTGTTACTATTATGAGTTGAGAATACTCAGTCTCAGCCAGGGAATCTTCCCAGCGCGGAACTGTTTCTGAACTAAAAATAACATGGCCCACCCTCTATTTCCCTCCAGAGCTGCACCTCTGGTGCCCGGAGTGTATGGGGGGGGGCAGACGGGGAGGGGAGCAGGTCACCTCTTGGATTAGGATGGGGCAGTGGTTACAGAGAACATGAGCTCTCCTCTCCCTCCTGAAAATTAGCCCCCTCAATATAACTCACAACCCCTAGTTTCTAAAACTATACATGTTATATACAATTATATCGAGAGATCCTTGCATTCACACAATCTTTCTGCAGAACTTGCGAGATTACTTCATTCTCTCCCCCCCCCAACTGTCTATAGCCCACCCTTGTGGGCCAGTTTGAGAGTGCATTTTTATTATTCTTTTCCCAACAGTTAATCAGTATGAATGTCTTTGTGTGCGCGTGACAGTCATCCTCTCCACCCCCCCCCACCCCCCAGTAACCTTCCTCCCTCCTCACCTGTCTGGCTACAGATTAGACCAAAGTGTCTCCAACTGATTTCAGTGAATCTCACTCTGGGTGGAGCCCTCAGCCGCAGGGAGCTGATAGTCCCCCTAATAATTTTGGCAACTTGGAAAGAACACCCCCTCCCAGTTTCTCTCTCCGAGCTGGTTTTCCGAAACGCTTTGGCTTTTGGCTTTAATGCGCCGCCCGATGTTCCCAAGCCCGTATTCTCTGCACATCACACCAGCAACTCCTGTGCGCTGGCTTCTAATCCATTCATTCCACCAATTCATTTGGGACTTCTATGACTGGGACTCGAAGGAAGGGGGGATAGTTAAGAAAAATGCCATAATACACAGAAACATCCTTAGACACCTCACGGGAATTGCAGAATTGTGGGAGTGTGGGGGGCACAGAGTGAGAGAGTACCAGGGTCAGAATAAAGCAACCTATAGCCTCCCAGAAGAAAGCAACCTAATTCTGGAAATCACTCTCACAGGAGAGCAATCTTTTAAACCCACTGGCGGGAAGGTGCTGGCGCCTGGGAATGGAGACCCAGACAGTGCCGGCCTCTGCAGAGAAAGCCGGTGAGCCACCGGCTTTCGGTTCCTGGAGCGCTGGGCCTTGGTTCATCCTCAAATCTAACACTTCGCTCTCCCTCCTTAAATTTTTTTTTCCCATTTTCTTCCCACTCACCCCTCCTCCCCCACCCCCCGCCCCCCGAGCTCTCACCGAAGTCACGACTATCCCCTTTGAACATCTTTAACCCCCTCCTCTCCACATCTCTCTTCGGCATTCAGGGCGGGGCTATCAGCTGCTGGCGCCAACCCCGCCCCCTGGCGCTCGGAGCTGAACTTGCTGAGGACCTAGGAATTTTCAGCACCTGCCTTCCATGGACAGCTACCGCGCCCTGGACTAGCCGCGACCACGGTCACGGTCCTCAGACTCCTTGACCAAGCAAGGAAGTTTGTCAAAAGAACAGAGATTTCCCTCCATTCCCTCGTTACTTTCCAGCCCCATCCATGCAATTTTAATCCATATCCCATCCTTTCCATTAATCTCGCGGAGAGATGGCCCATTAAGTGGTATCTGGGCACCCTTTAAGACAGAGAAAATGGGGAGGGAAGGAGGGCAGTCGAGAGAACGGGGCTCAACAGCGCCGACCCATAAAAAGAGAGAGAGTTGCAGCAGCTATTGATTCAGAGATTCGTCAGGGTGATTCCCATCTCAGCAAGAATTCCCCCCTCTCAGTTCCTTTGCATGCAACCCAAAATTCTTTATGCACAGATACCCAGCTAGACCCCTCACCCCCCCCTCAGGTCCACTGTCTTCTTTAGAAAGGGGTAAAAAGGCAGCCAAAAAAAAAAAAAAAGAATCCTAGAGCATGCACAAAGTAAGCCTCATACCCACAGTCTGCGGCATGCACATGACATAATATTACTTACCCAAACGGGAACTCCTTAAGAGGAGAAAGAGAAACGGGAAGGGAAGAGAAAGTGGAAAGAAAGAGGGAGACAGAAGAGAGGAGAGGAAAAATCCAACAATTAATTTCCAGACATAGTTGGGGGGGGGGGGAATGCGGTGATGTCCAGGTTTTCTTCCACCCGCGCTGGCTTTTTATCCCAGTACAGCCTTCGGTCTATTTCTGGAACACGATCAAACCCTGGTGCTATTTTTAGCAAGTACTGAAAAAACCTCCACACACAAAGGCATTTCGCCGGAACGTTACGTCCAAAACATTAAATGTGCATTAAACGCCCCCTCCCCACTTTTGTCTGCACCACCAGACTCACTTGCGTTACTGCAGATTGTTTTTCAAAGCAGAAAAAAATACCCAAATATTTCTTATATTCGCTCTCCATCCCGTTAACTCCCTTCTCCCTCTGCCTGTTGCAAGCTCCTCGCAGCCTCCCCAGTAGAAGGCTTTGGGGTGGTTTTATTCTTTTAGCGATGTATGTCTCCACTGACCAGATTCCCTTCATGCTGGAGGGGGTGCTTAGACCCCTTCCTCAGAGAAGCCTCCCAAGAGAGCTCTAGAGTCTAATGCTATCCACGATGGAGATTCCCAAATGAAGGGGGAAATCTTCCGTACCCTTCCCACGTTTCCCACCCATGCTTTGCAAATCGCGCTGTGTTTGCAACACACCGCCTTTGGAAATGTATATTTTGAAAGCTGCCTGTATATGTGTGTGTGTGGCATGTGTGTGTGCGCGCGTGTGTGTGTTTTGCGTTCTAGTAATTCACTACGAGGGGGTTGGAGAAAATAGACTCATGAAGGCAGCGCGGAGCAGCCGCCTTGAGTCTCCTTTGCCAGCCTGCGTCAGTCATCAGCTACTGACGTCACGTGCAGATTCTCCTCTTTGGTGGGTCTGGTTCAGCAGAGAAGAGGCTTCTGCTCGGAGACAGCGCTTTGTGTTCGGCTCAGCCACTGAGCAGGCGAGGCGGCCGAGGCGGGCGCCACCCCAGGCTAGGGCTGGGCATTTGCAGTGGAGGCTTCAGCCTCGCCAGCACTCGGCGAGCAGGACCCCGAGGGGCGTGTCCAGCAGGACAGCCCCGCCGCGAACGCCCTTCACCGCCCAGTGCAAACTCGGTTCGACAGACTCCAGCGCGTGTCCTTTCCCCGCCCTTTCGCAACTGGCCCCAGAAACAGAGACAGCTATGGCTATAACTCGGATTAATTCTGTGTTTGTCGGGCAGATAGCCCTAGCTCCTCCAGTGACGCAAATAACAGAGTCTACGGCTCCCGCTCTCTCCCCTGCTCCCTTTTTCTCCCTCCCTCCTTCTTTTCCCTCTTCTGTTTTCTGCGCCCACGCATCCTGCTCGGTCTCCCACAGAATCAGCCAGCTACAGCTTCCCAGAGAGCAATAATCTGAGTTACAGACAGACAGACAGACTCCCAGAGCAAGCACAAGACTGCAGTTAAACACACACACACACACACACACACACACACACACAGCCCTTCTCAAATGGCCAGCAGCGGTTAGGGGCTCCCCGGTGCGGGGGAGGAGGAGCTGATTCACAAATCCACTGGTCTCAAGAGTAAGTGCTTGGAGGTGGAGGTAGTGATGTCCCGGGAGAGCCAGAGGGGCAGGATTTGCTACCAGCCTCCTTCTCCCTCCTTACCATCTGAAAAGGAAACCCACCCCTATAAGCCCACCTGTCTAAATGCCTCTGTTAATGGCAGGGTATTAGTGAATAAACAACTTTTGTTGGCTGGTAGGAGAGAATTCAACAAAGGCTATTCAGGCTTCGTCTTTATCGACATTTTCAGGACTTTTAAAGAATAGGTGACATTTTATCCACTCTCCTTCCTCTCAAAAACCAGGAGATCTTTTATTTTTCTTCCTCTTAAAATAACATCCCTTGCGAATGAGCTCAATGGATTAGTGCTATTTTTAAACTTATTTGAATGGAGAGTGTTTTATGAGTGAGGGAGGGGGAGAGTCACACATCTGAATCTCAGGTTTTCAGCAGATGGGCCACACCTCAGCATGACAAAGGGTTTATTGATTGGTGGAGTGATGGTGATGGGAAGAATTCTTGCAGATTGGAAGGTCTGAACCAAAATCACAAACCTTCCCAAATCTACTCAACACCCCAAGTCCACCTCACATAACCTCTGCCCTGAGATGGGAGGACAGAACTGTTTACAGTACTGGTTTGATGAAGTGTAGTTCTTTTTTACCAACTCGAATTATACATGTTCACTGATCATGGTTTTCCTTGAGACTGATACATTTTTAGAGGTGACCAGGATGCCTGAAGGCCCCACGCCTAGGAGAGCATGTCACTGCTAACTCTTCCTCAGCATGATCAGGAATGCACTGTCCTCTCCTGCAGGCCCTCCTGGCCTTTATAACTTGCCTCAGATTCTGGGTTAAGTTTCAGCCTGTCCTGTTCCCTGGTTCCTGTGGCACAAGCCTCTCCTAGGAAAAGGAGACAGAGGACAGCTGCTCAGCACCGAGGACACTCTCTGGCAGCCCATCAGCAGCTGTTTATTCTTAGTTCCATGAATGCATGTATGAATTCATGCGAGTATGTGGCTGGAGTGGGGAGGAGAGTGGGAACAGAGATCCGTGAGAGGAAGGTGGAGCTGGCTCTTGGACTGGAGATGGCTTATTACACTGGATCATCAGATGTGGCCCAAGAGACAGAAAAGCTTACCTGTCGTGTTTCAGCAGGGTTTCAATGGAGTTTTCTTGGGTCAAAGCTAAGCATATCTTTGAATGCACAGAGTAGGTATGACACAACATTTTGGTAAGCAGACACTCATAGAGATGGGCACACTCACGGAGAATACTACTCTATATGGACACATACACCATAGAGAGAGGGGGCAATTTAGAATAATGTGACCTGATTCTAAAGTCCTATGCTTTCTATTGGTGCTGGGTGCTACTTGTGTCTGATTCTGATACCAAGGCTGGTGCCTTTAAAATCACTTTGGGGGTCCCCTAACAGCTTTCAGCAAGCCTTGAATCTATAACAGATGAGGTAGAGTTGGACTGGAAAAATGTGCTCAGACACTGCATTTCAGAACTTTGAGGGCAGCGTCTAAAATTTTACTAATCTAAACTTAACAGCTTAGTAGACTCCATGTGTTTCTCCCCCGACCCCGGAAGAGGGTACCTCTCTGCCTTGTCCCAGTCTTGCCACAGTAATCAAGTGGATTGGTTCCACTGGAAGGAGAGTGGGTGCCTAGAAAGCCCAGCAAAAATAAATGCAGAAAGTTAGTCCTCTATAGCAAGATCCAATCTCCCTCTCATTTCATCTCACTCAGGTCCTTGGTGAGTGTCTGACGAGAGCTGCTGACCTTGGCTTTCCCATTGTCCCTCTCTTCTCTGCTAAGGGCTATGGTGCCCAGTTCCTGTCTGAGCAGTCATGTTAAGGACCTGGGCAATTAATAGATCATCATGGAACCTGTCCAAGACAGAAACTGCTTTCTCCACTGTCAAGCCACCCCAGGGCATTGAAAGCAGAGAGGACTCTTTCCCCCAGGGCTCCTCCAGAGGCCTCTGGGGATAGGCTACTGCCAGGAAGCCCTTGAAAAGTCTCCTCTTTCAGGGTCAGTGAAACCCAGAAGTGACCTGCCTTTATCTCTTGTCTCCTCTCCAAATACCAAGTAAAATGCCTGTAGGAAAAGTGCTGGATTTAGAGGAAGAAAAAAAAAATCAGCTCCCAGGAAAACAGCCAAGGGAAATATAGCAGGGAAGTCCAGGAAAGCGCTCGCTCTTCCTGCTGGCCCAATTGTGTCCCCACCAGGGAACAGGACTACTTTAATATAAGGAAGATTTGCCAGAGGAAGTTGTGAAGAAATCAATGGTTTCAAGTACCTACTAGGTGGCAAGTGCTTTTAAATGTAAGCCATGTTGTGTAATGCTTAATTCAATGAGTGTTATCATAATAATGGTTACCTACCACTGTTGGGATGTTGAAGACAAAAATCACTCCAACAATGTGATTTTTCCCATGTTGAAGCTGAGACTATTGAACAGAGAGAGAGTTTAAGTGTGACTTTTCTAAAAGTCTTAGAGCTTGAAGTTGCAAAACCAGGGATTGAGTCAAATTCCTGTCTAGGGAACTCGAACACCTATGCCTGCACAATTCCTTCATGTTACTTCTGTTCCATTAACTGATGCTCAAATTTGAGTCCTAGGTGCCATCATTTGCAGTTGGTGCTACCTGGGACTTTCTCAGCAGTCACCTGACTAATGTAACTGACTGTTCCTCTAAGGAGGCCTGGGGTCAACAGAGCTCCCCACTGCCCAACCCCACCTGCACCCAAGGCTCCACACCTGTGAGGAGAGACTCCTCTCTGCTGTACTGAGGAAGCTCCTGCTGGTAAAAACCTCACTGAAAACTAAAGGGATTTGTCTGAAATTAGTCAGTGTGGATGGGAAGGTGCAGCAAGCTTTATGTCTACTTGCGCTTTCCAGCCACCTGTGTTTCTGCCTCCTTTGCGGAGGCCCCCTGGGGAGGAGTCAGAATGCCCCTCACCAGATTTTGATAAAGATGTCTTCAGCTGAGGACAATAGTGAATCTGCCCCTTGGGTTGGCTGATCACCTGAGTCTCCTCCTTCACCCTTTAGAACCTGGCATCCCTGATCATTTCCCTGGTGCTGAAAACTTCAGAGGCTAAGCCATTAGCACGGTGGGGGAGATGAGTCACAGCATGCATAATACAAGCTATTCTGCCATCCCCTCCCCTGTTAAATGCACATTTTCATCACTTACCCTGATCAAGAGGTACATTCGGTCTTGGGAAACACTTCTCAGTAGCCAGCATATTTGGAGGTCTAGGCGTATATTTTTAAGGTCTACTTGGATGCTGGAGGTAAGTAACCAGAATTCCATCTGTCCCCTTTATTGCTGCCATCAGCAACTCTCTTTGCACCCGAAAGCAACTGCATTGTTCAACATCAGATCTATGAAGACAGTATCTGCTCTCTTGCACACCTCC